TCAATGGATGATTTTCCTGGGTTAATTGTTGGTTTGCAGGGGCATCATTGTCCAAGGTAAGATTTGTGTTTTGGCGTTGGTTTTTCCCTGGTGCACAACCCCCATTTTTGCTACTGCCTTTTGTCAATTAGCACAGTTGCTGGCTTGTTTCTACTGGTTATTTGATTGGTCGGCTTTCTCTGTCACTTTTGACCGGTTGCACCCCTTCTCTATACTGTTAGAACACCTCATTTGTGAAAAGCACTCTATGGGGGAAACCAAGTTTAATCATTAGGCGTTGTGCGGAGAAAGCTTGTTGTAGGCATTCCGCATACGTTCTCGAGTACTGGTTCGGAAAGATTGGCAAAGCCAGAATTCAGCTCCGTGCTTTTGTTTGCTTCTAGGCGGGGAAATGTGATGTGCCCGTGAAAGGCCTTGGAGGATGCCTTTGTTGGACCCCTTGGCGCAATTTACATCGCACGATGAAATACGGTGCAACACCGCTTGACATGGTGATTTGGGCTCTCCAAACTGGCAGCAAACATCATGAGCTGGAACAAAGCAACGCAGGATCACGCTGGTAAGCATCCGGACACTGCACAGAGAGAAAGGGAAAGAGAGAGAGCGAGAGAGAGAAAGCGAGAGCGAGAGAAATGAAATTGCAGCCCTAGGGACCAGTTGATTCAATCAGTTGTTGCAAGCCGCACACAAGAGAAGACACGGAGGAAGCACACGCGAATCACAAAATGCCGCACAAAATCTCGCTAATTACGTATATGCAGTGTGCATAAGAGTTAAAAGAAAGCTACAACCTGACCGCGTGCGAGATTTTGGCTCTGTCGCATGCGCACAAACACCTCGATCGCGACGCGGAGGCGGGTGCGAAGCGCGCTCGGAACGGGTGCGGAATGGTCTAAAGAAAGAAACAAAGAAAGAAATAAATAAAGAAAGAAAGAGAGAAAGTCAGAGCGAGAGAGAGGAGACAATGAGAAAATGTTGAACATACAATAACAAAGGCACGCAAACGAGAAAGGGAAAGAGTAAGTGTGAGACAAGCGGAGAAAGACAGAGGAAGAAAAGAACAAAAACACACAATGAAAAAAGAACCGACAATAGAGAGAGAAATGGAGAAGGCAAAACTAAATGTTTTTTTTTTTTGGCTTCTTGGCTTTTCGGCTTTTCGGCTTCTTGGCTTCTTGGCTTTTTGGCTTTTCGGCTTCTTGTTGGTTTATGTGGCTTTTTGGCTTTGGCTTTTTGCATCCTCTGCATTCCAAGTTTCTCTCCGGCAGGTGGCGTTTTGGCTTTTGCGGCTTTTCGCTGTGGCTTTTGGTGGCTTTGGCTTTTTGCATCCTTTGCTTTTCCAGTTCTTCTCCGGGCTTTTTGGTTTTTGCACCCACTCATTGTTTTTGGCTTTAGATTTGCAGAGATTTAGTTGCACCCCTATTTGAGTCATCACTTCTGCAAACATCATGGGGGGGGCTGCCGCCTCCCCCCCAACCCCCCCGCTACTTTTTAGATCTCTCGCAGAGATTTAATTGCACCGCTGTTTGAATCATCACTTTTTCGAGCATCCACTTTTGCGAGACAATGCTGTAAAATACGACATTGTCTGCAATCTATGTAATCTATGTATGTCTGTATGTATGCACTTGATCGACCATCATAGGGGAAGCCACCCCCGCCAACCCTCCGGCTGCTTTTTGTTTGCTATCGCACCCCTTCTTGAATCATTGCGCCCCTGTTTGAATCATCACTTCTTCGAACATGATGGGGGGGGCGCCCCCCCCCCACCCCCCCGCTACTTTTTAATTGCACCCCTATTCGAATCATCACTTCTGCGAACATCATGGGGGGGGGGCTGCCGCCCCCCCTCCCCCAACACCCCCGCTACTTGTTGGTTTGTTTTTGCCAGGGATTAAAATGCCCTCCGATTTGAATCATCACTTTTGCGACCCCGTCAACGCGCCAGCTACTTTTTAGATTTTGTTACCCGCGAATTACTTCAGTGTATTTTATTCTATTCCATTCCATTCTATTCGTAAGTGGGATGAAGACTCAGTTGTAATTAACTATTATAAGAAACCTGATTGTAGAAATAACATGACTAAGAATGTTGGTAATGAGCCTTCCAAGCAAATGTCCATTGAACAAATGACATCTTTGCACAAAATAAGACAATCTTATGACACTATGGAAGTAGAAGAGAAACATGAACACAAACAATGTTTATATGCTCTTGATAATTTAGACTTGGAAGATGATGTTCCCGTGAGAATGTTTGTGGTCGGACATGCGGGGGATGTTGACAGGCTAGTGTAAAATACGTCAATTTAGCGAGCAACTGCCGTAAAATATGACAGTTTACTGGCCCGGACGAAAAACGAAAAGAGTTCCCCCAAAAAAGGAAAAGGTCCCGCAATAAATCCGCACCCAAACAAAAGTAAGGAAAGTGGAAGAGACATGGAAAGAGAAGCACACAAAGTCAACAGAAGAAAGAGACAAAGGTAGGTAACAAGAGAAC